ACTGTCTGACGCGTCTGCCTCCGCGACCCGAAAGGAGAAGCGGCGATGGAAGATGAAGATGAAGATGACTCGTAATTGCCTTGAGAAAGCAATTCACCCAATTATACTTCCTCGCAACCAGCCGAAAAACTGGTCGTTGACCAGCGAATAATAGGAACAGTAGGGTGTTTTGGTGTGATCATGTCGAAGTTTACGAAACACATAGTCATACGGTCTGATATCTGCGGCTTCCGACTGCAGTTCGTCTAAACCAACCTTAAGGCTTGCTAAAATTCTACGTAAGCTTAAACTAAATCTGGTTGTTCCATTTAATGCACATGCATCTAGACGTAAAACCTCAAGTTGACGATACGTATCTGTCTCTACAAGGACTGAGCTGAGCGAAAGATCGATTATTAAGCTCACTGTTGGAACTGTTCAAAAGTTGAGCATAGTATAGAAAAAATTTTATGAGAATTTCCTATAAATCCACTTACCTGCATATTCATCTGATGGACAGTTGTGCCGTGGGAAATTTTCTTATTCTGTTGTCATCATCATGAACATTATGTGTACTCTAAAATCCTTGAAGCTGTATGTCGCTGTATGATCCAGTGATGGACGACGAATATCTGGTTAAGTTTCACTTGCCATTTTCGGAGCGTTATTTTCAATACACCAGTGTTATTATTGTTTGTTATGTCTTCAGGACAAATGACGTTCGGCGTAGTACATGAGTCTGGTTTCTCAAAGAGGCTTTGATTATCCAGTCCTTCAAAAATGTCAACCGGGTCAAAGGATGCAAACTTTGCATGGATTGGACAAGATTTGTCTCGTCTGTTACCGAAAAAAACTACTTAACCAGCTACATGAGCCAAAAACGCACGTTTGACTCCAAACGTTATCACAGGCAAGAGGACCAGAGAACGAACTGTGGGGTTAACCCGGACCATCGTGAAGAAGGCCCATGAAAGACCAGCTGAGATGTTTTTGCTGCTCAGTCGTCTGATTGACCAAATTATTTGCGTTGTTTTTAAACAATGAATCAGTTTCGATGATCTCCTATCCTTTTGGTTCGCGGAGACAGATGCGTCAGACAGTGCTTCCTGATCCTACGCCAAAATCTGAACTTCGGCAGAAGGAAATCAAAGTCTAGAGCAAGATCTTTCAGTACACTTGCCCTGGGTTAATCTTGGTGTCCTCGGGGGTCTTTTGCCTGTCGTTTGGGCTTCGTCTTCCTTTCTGGAGACATTCGCAACACGTGGTCAGACCATCACAGCTGTGACTTTTCAGTCTGAGGAAGCACCGCTGTACACCAAAGCTCTCGCGGATATTTGTACCTCGAATCTAGTCGAGACGGGTAAGGTCAGCGATTCCTCTCAGACTGGCCATTTCAACCGTTTGTATCCAAGATCGAAGATTTTAAGTCATAGCCCTTGGCGTGTATAAGCTGTTCTTGTACATTTTTCAGTTTTTAAATACACAGTCTTCGAATACTTTCTCATTTTTTAAAATTCGATGTTAAATTATTTGTAATATATCCCGGATAAAGTCTTCTGTGCCGGAGTTGTAACATCGGCTCAAAAGAGAAATGAGGAAATTTTGGCATCGAAAACCATTTTTCGTATATATGAGGAGAATTTTCACTCGAGCTAAATGCAGCTAATTGTTAATATAAGGCCGTTGTTTGTCGAGACATATAGAATTTTACTTTTCCAGACTTAATTTCATTCCTAACATCAGTTCATATTTCTAAAAGTTCTTTATATGTTTTATTTGTTAAGTTAAGCGCGTTCCTCGACCCTAGAAATTGACTTCACCGCTGACAACATGTTCTAGGTATGGGATGCGATGGTGGTACTATTCCTCGGAGAGATGAACTCGTACGAACGAAAAAAAAGCCTGAACAGGTATGTATCTTCGTGTGAACTTTCCATTGCCACTTGGTCATATTTACTGCTAACTAGGTCGAACGCGATGTTGCGATCGCAGCTAAATGGGAGTATTGCACGTTAAGCCAACAGAAGCTCAGGGAACCGATCGTAGCCTGTCGGCTTGGAAGGTAAATATCCATAAAAGAATGCATGCAATATTTTGAACCGAATTATATTTGGTTTCATAAGTTTAGCTTTGGTTTATAAACTTGTCCTTCAGCCTCTTCTCAATACTGTATACGGTAAAAATAAATATTTACATCCTTGATAAAAAAGTGTTTTTGTCTCAAAAGTGGATCGAGAATGAGCAGATTGTGATATGCGATCTGTACATTTCTCCCTTGCAAACACATCTGAAAGTGGTCTAAACATCGTTAGTTGCTTTATTTCATACGACCTCTTGTTGCTTATCGCTCTATCAGCAAAGCATCCAGTTATGCATTCGATGTGCAGCTTGCGAACCGGTTTCGAGTGCACGCGATTCCGATGTTCTTCTATAAAACTGTGTCGCAGACCGTGTGGTAACCACACGGTCTGTTTTTTTCTCAGAACCCACCATCGCACGCAAGACTGCTTTATACCGCTGTTTTAAAGAATATCCGTTCTTGAGCACCAGTTTAGAGCTTCCTTTTCTTAACTGAGATGAAATGCGGGTAATATCCGTTGGTGTACCCCAAAACCGGCAGTGGAATTATCAAGGTTAGGTCTGTTTCGAATAAACCTTTCGAGATGCATAACTGTGTACCGTTTAGTGGGAAGAAGATAGGCTCTATAACGTAGCTTTTCCCTGATTGCTTATCTGGCAAAGCAACATTTGATAAAAACATCGAAACTGTTGTCAGCGACATACCATAATTTTAACTAATCAAGGGTACAGAACGATGCCTGTCGTGAAGCCGTATGCAAGACGGACATTCTTTCATTATGAATATTCTTTTAACATTTGCTACTACAACCATCGCTTTCTCACGCTTCCGGAAGCTCATTCTTCCTCTGAACCCCCCCCCCCA